GGGGGGAGGCTCACGAGCTCGCGCGCAGCAGAGGCTGGGGCGGCTTGGCCGCGCGGGAGCACGGGCGCATTGCTTGCGGGCTTGGCGGCGTCGGATTCACGTGTGTCCTGTCCAAGCCCACCAGATACTCTGCATGTTCTAAGCCATCCCAGCCTGGCGCGTTCCAGAATTACCACGGACGCCGCCCTCGGTTGGGCGCCCCACGGCACAGACCGCTGAAGCGCGCGTACGCGCCGCATCAACGCCCGCGCCGCGCCGGCGCCGCACCTGCTCGCAGAACACGTGCTCCGGGCACTGCACCACTGCTGACTTGCGCATCCGCTTCATGGCGTAGCTGCGGCCCGTGCTGTCCTCCGTGACCACGCTCACACGGCTGAACGCGCCGCCCCCCAGCACCGCGCCCTCCGTCAGCGTCAGCGACGGCGCCGCGTTGTGGTCGACGCCGCCGCCGTCGTCGGGGCGGCCGCCGCCGCCCGAGGGGGGCCGGTAGTTGGCCAGCTCCTCTGAGGGGGCGGGCAAGGCGGGGGTGCCCAATCAGGTCGAGTGAGCTGGCCCGTAAGCAGAGTGGGCAGCACTCCGCGCCCCAGGGGGCGCGGCGGATCCCAGCCCTGCACCCGTGGTCCCTCCCCTTTCCCTCAACATCCACTTTCCTCAGACACTCGACACCCCCATAAAGCAGTGGCTTGCAAGCCCTGAATGCAGGCCGCCGCGCGCGTTTGCCCTGAAACCCCTGCTGCCTGGCACCGCCCCCGCCCGCGCCCCTGCACTGCGCCCCGCTCCCCAATCCACAACAAAGCGCGCGGCGCAGCCGCCCCCGCAGGACACGACGACGCGACGCGCCCGGCCGCAACCCACCCAGCTTGCTGCCGCCGCGCCTGAGCTCCTGCACCTCATCCAGGTGTCCCCGCGCCCGCACCACCTCCCACGCCGTCTCGCCGTTGCGCCCCCGCTTGCGGCGCTTTATCAGGACCTCCGCCGGCTGCCGCCCGTGGCTGGCGCCGTGCCGCTTGAAGGTCGCCAGCTTGCTGAGCCGCTGGGCAATTACCTGCGCGCGCGCCGGCGGCGAAGGAGGGCGTGTGTGTGCGCAAAAACGTCGCAGGCGGCGCCGTCTGAAAGATGGGCATCCAACCGCTACACATGCGGCATTAGGGGACCGAGAGCCCGCGCGGCGCGGCGGGTGAAACCGGCAGAGGGGCGGCCGATCAAGCAAGCAAGTGCATGGCAGCATTGCAAGCCGCCATGCGTGGACGAATTGAGAGCAGCGATCCGTGGCGGTCGAGCCGGCTGCAACCCCCAACCCCCAGCCCGCCCGTCTGCCGCCCACGCGCCTGCGGCGACTTCTCACGCTCCATCAGCTTCTGCAGGGGCCCCAGCAGCTGCACAAACTCCTCCCGCGCCAACGCCAGGCACGTCAGCTTGGTGTGCGCCTGCACCGTCGCCATCCTGCGTGTGAAAGCGCATCCGGGCATGCGAAGGAACACACACCTTCAAAGCCACGCGACAGCGACGCGTGACCGCGGCCTCGCATGACCCATCGCATGTGCCCGCGCCGCGCCCTGGCAGTGGGCTGCTCGCAGCCGCCGCCGCTGCCGCGTCCGCGCAGGCGGCACGGCAGCGAGGAGCGGGCCGGCGCGCGCGGGGACGCACCTTGGGGCGTCCTCCAGCAGCGCCCTCTCCCCGAAGAAGTCCGCCTTGAACAAATGGTTCACCTTGCGCGGCCCCTAGACCGGCGCGGGGGACGTGCAAGGACGGGGGAGACGGGCGGACAGAGGGTGGGGCCAAGGGCGCAGCTGGCGAGTGAGAGGCCTGGCCCCGAGGTCGCCCACGCCCCGGTCTCGCGCCCACGGAAGTGGTGCCCAAAGACCTCCGGCGCCGTCGAGCTGCGCCGATCAGACGGCACGGCGCGTGCCCCAGGTCCCCTGCGCCGCGGCCGCACCTGCAGCGTGTTCTGGTACACCACGGCCTCCCCGTCCAATATGATGTAGAAGAAGTCCCCCGGGTCGCCTTCCACCACAACCTGCGCACACCAGGGTATAATCAACACCTGCTCGCTGCCGCAAACGAGGAGCCGCCCCCAGAACAAAACCGCAGTACAGATCGCTGAGATCCCGGCGGCGCCGACCCCTCTCCCCGCCGTGCGCCTCCCACGCGCCGCCGCCCTTCCCTTAACTCCCAGGCCGCGCTCTGCCCCACCCCTACAT